AAAGCACATGTGTACTTTTTATATTATATTTTATTTAAAATTTATATAAAAATTATATAAAATTAATTACAAATATTATAATAAATAAGATTTAACTTAAGTTGGTGCAAGATAAAAAATCCCATGGTCCAAGTATACAAATTTAGCTATGGCATGATGTTTAGGCAGATATATAATTCAAAGCTTCTTGACTTTGCATTAACTCTGATTCCACACCATCTCCTTGACTTACCAGTGGCTGCTATCATTAACAACTCTGAGTGAAACTTAACTCAACTGACAAGACTTCTCCCTGATAATTTACTACATGTTATTGCAACTACCCCTTTACCTATTGCAGGCCACTTAGAAGATACCATTTACTGGCATAATTCATCCCCATGGTGACTTCTCTGTCAAATCTGCCTCACAACTCATCCAACGATCTCGTCTACCTGACATCCCCGAAGCTGGAGAATGGACATGGATATGGCAATTATGTTGTCCGGAGCAAGTCAAGTTATTTGTTTGGTTATTGAAGAGAGGAAGAATCCTTACAAATTCAGTCCGCTTTGATAGACATATGGCCTCTACTCCAGTCTGCCCTCGTTGCAAGCAATCACCTGAAACCCCATTACACCTTTTGTGGGATTGCTACTACTCATGGCTCGTTTGGGATGCCACTAATTGTCAATTGTCTTCCTAAAGACTTCTTCCAGTTGGATCTTGACCCTTGGTTGAGAAAAAATTCCTCCAAACCAAGGAGGAGACCTCGTGCTTCAAACACATGGCTGAGCATCTTTCTTGCAACTATCTGGTACTTATGGAAAAGCAGGAACAAGCTGATATTTGAGGTGCAAAGGATCCCACTGCTAACTATTACTCAATAAGCAAGCAAATTGGCTTTGGAAACAAAATTTGCTTTCGAGGCTAAGGCAACCCTCACCTTAAAAACTCTCAGATGGGTCAGTTGGACCCCTCCACCCCAAGACTTCCTTAAACTTAATACAGATGGATCACATGATCATAATTCAGGTAACGTAGTTGCAGGGGGACTTCTTCGTGATCAACGTGGGCGTTGGCATCATGGGTTTGCTATGAATGTAGGCATTACCACAAGCTTTTTGGCTAAATTATGGGAATGTAGAGAGGGTCTTAAACTCGCAATTTCCCTTGGAGTGCAACAGTTAATATTGGAAATGGATTCCTTGCTAGCAATTCAACTAATTCAGTCTCAAAAGGTATCAACTGGCACAGCTTCTATGCTTCTATCTGATACCTTCTTGTTACTTGACTTCTTCACTTCTTGCTAGGTGAATCACACTCTCAGCGAAGGTAATTCAGCTGCTGACCATATGGTCTCTGTTGGGCATAATCTTGAGTTGGGTACTATCTTTTTTCCAACCCCACAATGGGTATTAGTCTGATTTTGCAAAACGATTGTAGTAGGACCATGTTTCTCAAAAACTAGGCTTGTAATAGCTTCTGCTGTACCAAAAAAAAAAGAGAAGAAGATAAGAAATCCCATAAATAAAAGAAAAAACATACGAAAGAAAATAATATATAAAAAAAAAATTAAAAGGGCATCTCTCACACTGCTAAACGGCGTCACTTCAAAGATTTTCAACTTTGAAGCAACAAATTATATTTATTTATTTTTCAAAAATTATTTAATAATAATTTAAATAATTTAATAATAATTTTTTATTAAAATAAAAGATATTAAATTCAACTGTAAGATAAATTAAGAAATAAGAGAATGTTACTTTTTATTATGAAATTGAAATAAAAAAATTCTTTTTAAAGACATATATTTAAAAAAAAATTAAAATTTAAATATCAATTTTGATTTCTTAACTTTAAAATTTTGTAAAAATAAAAGATATTAAATTCAACTGTAAGATAAATTAAGAAATAAGAGAATGTTACTTTTTATTATGAAATTGAAATAAAAAAAATTCTTCTTA